ACTAGAGCTGACCACCAAATTTCCACATTGCCGAATCCAGAAAAACCAGGATTTCCAGCTCTTCAGAAACATCCAAGATCTGGCCACACAGAATCTGCACTTCCCAGGGCAAGGCCTGGCAGCAGCAGCCCCAACAGGGTGTGGGCCCCAGGACACAAGGCACATGTCCACCCCACAGGGTCCTAGCACCTCTACCCTCCCCACAGTGGCCCCCACCAGGCCATGCAGACACTGGGTTCCAGCGGAGGCTACAGGGTCACAGCCAGGCCTTGTGAAGCCCCTCTGGGTCCTGAGCGTTTCTTCCGCTGGTGTCCTGTGCACCCTCAGCTGCTGGCCACATGGACCCAGGCTGCAGTATCCCCCCTCCTCAGGCCTCCCCGCCAGCCTGGCCTTCCCCATTAAGGAGCAGCCACTGCTCAGCTCAGAGGCTCCAGCACCAGACAGCTCCTCCCCACTCCCTCAGGCTGTTGAGGTCTGTCCCGGACACAGCTCTGTACTCACAGGGCCCCCTCGGTGAGCCCGGTTCGGGGGAGGAGGGGGCTGAATGTGGAAGGAGGCAGGAGCTTATTTACATCATTACCACCCCACGCATGACACCCGAGATGTCTGAAGGCAATTCCGTCAGGTGCTACAGCCCGGACTCGGCTGCTCGGTGCCCCGGCCTCCCATGAGCAGAACACAAGCACGTGACAGCCATGCAGAGAACTCTGGGCTGATCCACGCTCCCTCACGGGTTCCCAGGCCACACACAGGATGCTGAGCTGACCCACACTCCCTCACGGGTCCCCACAGAAAACCCTGGGCTGACCCACACTCCTCACAGGTCCCCAGGACATGCAGAGAACCCTGGGTTGATCCATGCTCTCACGGGTCCCCAGGCCACACAGAAAACCCTGGGCTGACCCATGCTCCCTCACAGGTCCCCAGGCCACACAGGATGCTGGCCTGACGCACGCTCCCTCATGGGTCCCTAAGCTGCAAAGAGTAGACGCTGGGCTGACCCACACTCCCTCACAGGACCCCAGGCCACACAGAAATCCCTGGGCTGAACCACACTCCTCACAAGTCCCCAGGCAATGCAGAGAAGAACCCTGGGCTAACCCACACTCCCTCATGGGTCCCAAGGCTGTGCAGAGGACGCTGGGCTGAACCACGAAGACTCACAGGTCCCCAGGCCACACAGAAGATGCTGGGCTGACCCAGGCTTCCTCATGGGTCCCCAGGGTGCCTATCCCGAGGGTGGGTGCCCCCCAGGCATGAGCCGAGAGGGGGATCTTGACTACTGCCTCACTGGCCCACACAGTAGCCTTGTGTGGGGGGATCTGGAGGCCAGGACCCCCCATGCTGAGCACAGGCAGGCCCCTCCATCCAGGCCTCAGACAGGCAGGCAGGAAGCTCAGGAACAGATGCCCAGGTCTCCCCTCTGTTGGGTCAGAGCGCAACAAACCCTGGCGGAGCCTAGCACAAACCCCATCTGCAGAATAAATCACGTAAGACACACACCCATCTGTTTAAATTACCAACGCTGATACTGTTGTAAAAATAGTGGCACGGCACTTTTTATTTTCTTTCATCATAAAAATAAACCCTGCGCTTCTGGGATGGAGGCCCTCGGTGAGCACCGGAGGAAGGGGCCTGGCTGGGCGGGGAGTGAAGGGGCCTAGGGACCAGAGCAGATGCTGCACCAGAGCCTGGCCGGGACCCGGGAGGGCCTGTGGGGGACGCGTCCTCATGAGCAAGTGTGGGGGGCTAGAGATCAGCAGCTGCCTGCTGGAAGCCAGGGACACCCACCCACCTTCCTGACACCTGCAGCTGCCCAGCTGGGCGTGACCAGACCTTCAGGACCAGGGCCTCCCGTCACTTAGCACAGGGGTCCATGGGGCCGAGGCTGCTCTCTGGAGGGCCCCTGGCTGCAGCTGCCCAGCTCCCCTGTGGACTGGAGAAAGTCAGAGCCCCTCCAAACACCCCTTTCCTTTTGGGCCAGTGGCGTTCCTCGGACTCCAGAAGACTCAAGCGGGGCTGCCTCGAGACCAAGGCCAGGGGATGGCAGCCCGATCACAGGTGGGGGCTGCGGAAGGGCAGGTATAGGCCAGGAATAACCACGTAGTGTGAGGTCTGCTGACTGCACATAGGTCGACAGCCGGACAGGACGCTGCAGGGGACTCTGGGAAGCCGAGAGAAGGCGCTGCCTCCCCTGTGGGCTCCCCCTCGCCTGGAGACCCCTCGAGCACCCCTTCAGTGTGCGCCCACAGGGGTAGGGAAGGCAGAGTCCTGAGAGGTGGGGGTGGGAGCCTCCGGGCCCCCTGCAGCTTCTGACCCATCAGATGGGCCCATGTGGCCCCTGCAGCTTGGGGACCCTGGAGGTGGACACCAGTACCACCTGACTGCCGGGGGAGGGGCTGGACACCTTCAGCATTCACCACCAGGAATCTGCCTGAGGGTGGGAACTGCGCCTTGGCCGACGGGGTGCTGCCCATGAAGAGCCTGCAGCCAGCACTCCAGAGATCATCCCGCCCAGCACGCCACTCACGCTTGCACCCACTCCTGCATGCACGCACAGCACGCACACACCACGCTCACGCTCCACACAGTGGCACACCCGGGACACGCGTGCAGGCAAGGACAGCACTGGTGTGTAGAGGCACAGAAAGACATTGAGGGGCCCCAGCAAGCTCCCGCCCTTGGGGGCTGTGTTCTCCCAGGGCACACACCACAGGCAGCACACGCGGGTGGGGGCTCTGTGACACCAGTGGGGGGGACATGGTGGGGCGGCAGGAAGACGCCGGGTTCCTCTCTCCTCCTGGTGTGGCGGGCCTCGGCCTGATCACAGCACTTCAGGGCTCCCACCTCCGGCTGAGCCTCAATTTCCAACGGCAAACAGCCCGGCCCTGTCTGAAGGCCTAGGGCTAGTCCAGCAAAGCATCTCTGGCCCGAAGGGCAAGGCGGCCTTGGCCCCAGGGGCCCTGCCAGGGTGGAGCTCACACTGGGGTGGCCAGGAAAATGCATCCAGGGAGGAGCCCACAGGCATCAGGCTCCAGGGCTCACGGATGGGGCCTGACGGGCCACCCCAGGGGCACAGGATCGGGTCCACCGTGACCTCAGGGGCCGGCAGGGATGGCCCAGGGCCAGGAGTGAGAGCCGGGGCTGCCGGGCTGGCACCAGATCCAAGAGGGAGCGCCGAGGCTGGCACAGGGGCCCCAGGAGAGGCCGGCAGGGTGGGCCTGGCTGCCCCAGGAGTGGAGGGCGGTCAGGAATTGGGAGCAGCGGCTGGGGCTTGCAGGGCTTGCTGGGGCCCATGAGCGGCCGCGGGGGCTGGCAGGGCTGCTCTGGGCCCATTAGCGGCCGCTTGGGTGGGCAGGGCTGCTCCAGGCCCATGAGCGGCTGTTTCTGCTGCCTCGGCCGTCTGGGGCCCAGGAGGGAAGGCGTGAGTGGGCCGGGCTGCTCTGGGGCTTCCACTAACCGCTGGGGCTGCCTGAGGCGTGGCAGTAACCGCCGTGGGCGGCTGGGCTGGCCCAGCAGGGACCTTCTGGGCTGGCCATACTGACATGGCACTAGGAAGGCCCGCCGGGGGCAGCAGCACTGTCCCGGTAGGAAGCCGGAGGGCCGGCGGCGAGGTCGGAGGGTGAGGAGTGGCCTCGGGGGCTGGTACCGCTGGCACTGGGCTAGCAGGGACCGAAGGCGCCGGCAGCGGTGCCTTGGGGCCAGGAGGAACCGCAGGCGCCGGCAGTAGAGGCAGGGGACCAGGAGGGACCGTGGGGCCAGCAGGGAACGCAGGCGCCGGCGGTGGTGGCACGGTACCAGCAGGGAACGCAGGTGCCGGCAGCACTGCCTGGGGCCTGGCAGTGCCCAATGCGGCCGGCAGGGCTGAGCCAGGCAGGACCGCTGGGGCTGGCAGAGCTGATCTGGGGCTGGAAGGAGCCGCTGGGGCCGGCAGGGCTGCCCAGGGCCCAGAAGTGACCGCCGGGTCTGGCCAGGCTGTTTCGGGCCCAGAAGTGACCGCTGGGGCCAGCTGCGCTGACCCAGGAGTGGCCGCTGGGAGGGCTGGCAGGGCTGCCCGGGGTCCGGGAGTGCCGACAGGGCTGGGAGGGACCCCTGGGGCTGGCTGGGCTGGCTGGGCTGGAGCTGTTGCTGGCGCTGGGCCGGGCTGTTCTGGTCCCAGTGGCTGGCTGGGAGCGGCCCCCCTTCTGGGGAGCACACCTGCATGGAAGAAAGAGCACGTGTCCACCTGGGCAGGTGTGCCCACGTAACCCCCGTCCAGCCCAGGCCCAGGAGGCATGCTGCCCTTCTCCAGCAGCCCTATTCCCAAGGGGGCCGAGGGGAGCCTAGGACACCACGCCGAGCCCACCCCGGAAGGAAGGCGCACACCAGCGGACCCCTGCGGAGGAAGCAGCTGCAGGCTGAGCCACACCCAGGACAGAGCCCCATGTGGTAGGGAGGCCCCAGGCCAGCACCCATCTGCTCTGACAGTCCCTCCTGGGCAGGAAGGCCCCCGGGCAGGGCAGGTAGGGCCCTGTTCCCAGCTGGGCCACGCACCTGACCACTGACCACAGTCATGTGCCTGCGGCCACCGCCGGAACCAAGCATTCCCCTCCCCATGCCACACGCGTTAGCGGATGGCGCTACGTGTGGGCAGAACAGCCTCAGCAATGAGTCTGGAACCCTCCTGAGAGACACACTGGACACCTGTAGTCGGCGGAGCCTGACGGACACGGCAGGGAAACGGGGCCGGCCTACCAGCTTGGCGCCCCAGCCCGGCACACGCGCCTCGCTGCCCCCAAACAGGCACCTCTCCCGCTGTGGCCCTGGGCCAGTCACGGCCCCTCAGGGGCCCAGCCGGCTCCTGCCTCTGCTCGGGCCCAGCCCCGTCCACATGTCCCAAGCCCCAAGCCTGACAACAATGGGGCGCTGCCAGGCAGGCCCAGGGGCTACGTGGGGGTGTCCAGGTGCTGGCGTGGCCCCGGGGCGGTGAGCACTGACCCAACTCGAAGCTCCCTGCTCACCTGCTTGGAGGCCTGCAGCAGCACCTTCCTGGCTCCGTCGCAGGTGGGCTCCAGGTCCTGCCCAGGGCTGCCGGCCTCCAGGGGCCGCCTGTTCTCACTGGGCTCCGCAGCAGGGCACTTTTCCGACTCCCGGGGCTTCTTGACCAGGCGACGTTCCCACTTCTCCTTCCGCTCATGCGGCTTCAGGGCCATATCCTTCTGCAGGGAAGCAGGGAGATGGCGGTTAATTGGCCGGACCCCAGGACCCTGTGCCCAGGACAGCACCTGGACAGCACCCCACCTGAGCGGCTCTCAGGGGACGGAGCCTCTGGCCTGGGGAGAGGCACCTCAGAGGGGAAGGAAGACAAACAGGTGAGATGGCTGCTGTGGGTCAGAGGATGGGAGAGTTTCTCAGGACCCAGCCAGCAAAGGACCAGGCAAAAAGCTCAGCCCAGCAGAGTCTCCAGCAAGCTCCACAGAAGGCTGGCCTGGAGCTACCCAGGACTGTGCCTCTGAGGCCCGCTGAGATCAGGGCTGCCTTTCAACACTGAGTGTGCCCTATAGCAGGGGCCAGGGACCACAGAAGCCTCTCCAGGTGACACCCACACCCCACAAGAAGTGCTCCTAGAGGCAACACCCCAGGGGAAATGCTCCCCCAGGGGCTCCCCATGGGAAATGTTCCCCCAGGAGACTCCCCACGGGAAATGCTCCCCCAGGGACTCCCCACGGGAAATGCTCCCCCAGGAGACTCCCCACGGGAAATGCTCCCCCAGGAGACTCCCCACGGGAAATGCTGCCCCAGGAGACTCCCCACGGGAAATGCTGCCCCAGGAGACTCCCCACGGGAAATGCTGCCCCAGGAGACTCCCCACGGGAAATGCTCCCCCAGGGGCTCCCCACGGGAAATGCTCCCCCAGGAGACTCCCCACGGGAAATGCTGCCCCAGGAGACTCCCCACGGGAAATGCTCCCCCAGGAGACTCCCCACGGGAAATGCTCCCCCAGGAGACTCCCCACGGGAAATGCTGCCCCAGGAGACTCCCCACGGGAAATGCTGCCCCAGGAGACTCCCCACGGGAAATGCTGCCCCAGGAGACTCCCCACGGGAAATGCTCCCCCAGGGGCTCCCCACGGGAAATGCTCCCCCAGGGGACTCCCCACGGGAAATGCTCCCCCAGGGGACTCCCCAAGGGAAATGCTCCCCCAAGAGACTCCCCAGGGGGGAGATTCCCCACAGGAAATGCTCCCCCAGGAGATTCTCCACAGAAAATGCTGCCCCAGGAGACACCCCACAGGAAATACTTCCCCAGGAGACTCCACAAAGGAAATGCTGAACCAGGAGACACCCCACGGGAAATGCTCCCACAGGAAACTCCACACAGGAAATGGTGAACCAGGAGACACCCCACAGGATATGCTGCTCCAGAAGACTCCCCACAGGAAATGCTCCCCCAGGAGACACCCCACAGGAAATGCTGAACCAGGAGACTCCCCACGGGAAATGCTGAACCAGGAGACTCCCCACGGGAAATGCTGAACCAGGAGACACCCCACAGGATATGCTGCTCCAGAAGACTCCCCACAGGAAATGCTCCCCCAGGAGACACCCCACAGGAAATGCTGAACCAGGAGACTCCCCACGGGAAATGCTGAACCAGGAGACTCCCCACGGGAAACGCTCCCCCAGGAGACTCCCCTCGGGAAATGCTGAACCAGGCAACGCTGTATTCCAGAGGGCCTGAGGGGATCCAACCAGTGCTCCAGGATAGGCCTGTGGATTTGGGCCAGAGATGCTTCCTCGTGCTCACCTTTGGGCTATCAGACCCTGGGGACACCCCCAGGCCCCCCGTAAACCTGCTGGCCTCCCCTGGTTCCCCAGTCAGCCCCTCATCCCATCTCGACTCCTTCAGAGCACCAGACTGCCTATCCTTCAGGCAGCCCCCAGGACATTCCAGGCCCCTGCCTTGTCGGTGGGCATCAGGCAGCCCCAGGTTCTGGGGTCCCTACCTCTGCACTCAATAAACCAGTAACAAGCACATTCTGCATGCTGGCTTGGCTCCTAGCACCAGGGCTGGCACAGACAGATATAGCACATCAAGTTTAGGGTCCAGAGGAGCCAGCTGGCTAGACGGAAGTGTCCACGAAAGGACAGAATCCTATCGGGGAGGGCGCAGCTGTGAGGAAAACAGCAGCAGCAAAGCTCAGGGACAGGACCCACGTCAGAGCTGCTGGCAAGGACCAGAGGAAGCCACTAGGGAGGACCTGCACCAGCACAGGGCCACGGGTGTCCCTGGGGAGGAGTATCTGCCCCCGAGTAGAGACACAGGCATCCCTGGAGAGGATGACTCGCCCCCATGTAGGGCCACAGGCGTCCTGGGGGAGGAGGACCCGCCCCAATGTAGAGACGCAGGCATCCCTAGGGAGAATGACGTACCCCCGAATAGGACCAAGGGTGTCCCTGGGGAGGAGGACCTGCCCCAACATAGAGATACAGGCATCCATGGAGAGAATGAGCTACTCCTGCATAGGACCACGGGTGTCCACAGCGAGGATGACCCACCCCCACGCAGAGATATACGCGTCTCTGTGGCAGGAGGACCCACCACTGCGTAAGGCCACTGGTGTCCCTGGGGAGGAGGACCTTGACAGAGGACAGTGACAAGGGCCATGGTGGTGCGAGCCACCCCCTCCCCAGCCATGCCCTCCCCTGCTGGGTACCCTCTCCGTGACCCAACTGCCATCCCCACCAGTCAGAGCTGGAGGCCCTGAGGGGCCCAGCAGCGTTCCCCCACCCTGCCCACAAAGTCCCGTCCTGGTGCTCCAGCTCTTTGCCGTTTCCAGCTCCAGGCAGCCTCCTGGGCTGAGCCAAGGCCTCCTTGCCTTCCTGAGGGCCAGCTCCCCCCATGTGCTCTGTGCAGAGCCCCCACTCAAGGCCCAGGGTCCTGCTGCAAGCAGCCTGTTCCGGCACAAGCCCGAGAGCCCAAGGCCACCAGAGCTCCTGCTCGTCCACCCGGGGTCTCTCAGGGTCTCCTGTCCCAGGCGCTGTGCACCCAATTTGCTAAAGTCATAGAAACAGTTCCCAGTCCTGCTGGGCTCTGAGGGTCTGAGCCTGGACGAATCAAAGGCTGCGACTGGGAGAACAGCTGTTTGCAGCACTGGGTCCAAAGTAGGAACAAACCCAGGCATCACCTCTCACAGCAACTACGAAACGTGCAAGCGCAGTGTGCCACGTGAGGCCACAGAGCTGGAATCTGTCTTACGTGGGGGGAGGGTAGAGGGGATGGGTGGAGGGCAGATCTGAGGCGCCATACAGGCAACCTCAGTGCCAGGCACTTTGCTAAGAGGTGGGTCAGGCCCCGCTTATCTCTCCCTTATTTTTTTATTTATTTATTTTTTTTGAGATAGGTCTCACTGTGGCTCCCGGGCTGGAGTGCAATGGCATAATCTTGGCTCACCGCAACCTCCACCTCCCAGGTCCAAGCAATTTTCCTGCCTCAGACTCCCGAGTAACTGGGATTACAGGCACACACTACCACACCCAGCTAATTGTATTTTTAGTAGAGATTGGGTTTCAGCACGTTGGCCAGGCTGGTCTCGAACTCCTGACCTCAGGTGATACACCCACCTCGACCTCCCAAGTGCTGGGATTACAGGCGTGAGCCACCACGCCCGGCCTGGACCCTGCACATCTGATCCACACACACAGGACCCCATGAGTTGGTCAGAGACCACCCCAGTGTCAAATGACACACAGAAACCGAGAGGCCTTGAAAGGCTCCAGGAGCTGTGTCCCCAGCACCACCCATCACCCAGCTCAGCCCATGGGCACCAGCCAGGGCCTCCTCGGGCCAGCGCCCCAACTGCAGGAAGCCTGCTGGGCTGAGGCAGTGAAGGCCTTGAACCCCTCAACGGGTCTTCGGTGCACTCCTGGGTCAGCACATGTGGCACCAAGCCTGCACACTCGGGGCCCCTCCCTGAAGGCGCCTCTACCCCGCAGCGGCGCCCCCACCCCCAGCAGTGGCCAGACCCACAGACCTCCCTGCTCCCCTCCCGGGAGGACCACCAGGGCTGGGAGCAGGTTGCTGTGACCTGGCTGGTTAGACAGATTTTCCTGAGTCATGTTTATGTGCCTGCTTTTGGCTCTCAGTGTCATGACTACGCAGCAACAAGAAGGTTTCTAACTGCACTACAGAACACCAGCCTCGGAGAGAGAAAGTGACTCCACCTCAGCACGCAGAGCCCTGCTGCCCCAGCCCCTGCAGCCAGGGGCCGCCTCCTGCTCCTGGGACCACACCTGGGGCCTCTCCTCTCCTTGTCCCCAGGCAGGAGGCTCTGGAGAACCGCTCACCCGAGACCTCACCCCTGGCAGGCCCCTCTGCCCACTTCCCGCCCTGATTGATGACCACATGCCCTGGGCAAAGCCAGGCCTGGAGTCTGCCCCAGGGGGGTTTCTGGGACAGGACAAAAGCCGCCCTCCTTCGAGCGAAGAGGCCGTGGGAGCCCCTGGGGTCTTCTGGGATGAGCCAGAAGCCGCTCTCCATTAGGGGGTAAAGGCTGTGGGGGCCCCCCCAAGGGTCTTGTGGGATGGGATAGAAGCCACTCTCCATCGAGGGAGGAGGCTGTGGGGGCTGCAGCTGCTCGGCTCCCAGAACCTTGCTGGCTCCACCTTCATTAGGACTGTCTCCGTCATTCCAAGAGCTCAGGCCCAAACCCCAGAGCCTCTGCCTCTCAACCACGTCCAATCTGGGTGTGAACCCCACAGCTGTCCCTGCAGAGCACCTGAGGGCCCAGCACCGGGCTGGGACGGCTGCCTCCCATACCTGGGGCCCACAGTGGCCTGTGCTCTGACATCCCCTCTGCTGTGGGTTAAAAGCTGAAGAGAAGCCGGTGCATGAGACCCTACAGGCAGCCGCACTGATGGTCCTGTGTGGGGACTGTATCTATTTGCCCCTACAGCTGAGAAGGTGGGAAGGGGCTTCTCCCACCATGATCCGTCTCCTCCTTGGCTCACACCCACCTGATGAGCGACAGCCCCCATGTCTCCCCCTTAGTCCAGGGCATCCCACGTCCAATGTCACCTTGGCCAGCTTTTTCTCATGGGGGCCCCACATCATGCACCTGAGTGACGGCCCTGGAAAGCCATGCTGACACCTCACTTGTTCCAGAGGCCTCCAGACCCTGCCTGGCTGCCCCCATGGCCACCAGGCAGGATGTGGTCCC